TTCAATTTTTTGCTTGTCGTTGGAACAGTCACATGCTTTACGCAATAGATGAAATTAAAGTGTCTTTTGCTTTGTCATCATCTTATCATGACCTCCATTAGAGAACTTTGAGATATATGCTATTGTTGATGGTGACAGTGGGGACGCAGATGGTAGAACACCAGTAACAGGGACGAGATATTGGATTGAAGCTCTTGGATTGCCTCTCAAGTCTAGTTGGCGAACTTGGTACCATGATAATCAGGTTCACCTCTATAAACTTCTTCATCCTTTTTTACTGACTTTAAATTCCACTTGCTTTCCGCTTTTCTGGTTTTGGCTAAAGTACTCTCCCAAGTCTTTAAGGCTGAGCCATTTTCTCTTTATGTGTTCAGTAAATTTTTAACCTTGGAATACAAATATTGGCTTTCTTAGAAATTGGTTGGATGTTACGACTATTACTATTTTTATGAAATAGAACTGAAGGTTCATGTATTTGAGATTTTCATGATGTTTGGTGGTATCTCATATCTCTAAAATGGTTTCATCATATGCCTCCTGATATTTTAATTCATATCATACATATTGAATACTAGGTTATTAAATACAGACATTTTGAGATAGACTAGATGAAATGAGACATATTTAATGAAGAATGAGAAAACAAAAGTATATATAGCCAGGCGTTTACGAGGAATTATATGTAATCTTCATTTTTTAGGACGTGATACTTGTATGCAGATCATCATTTCTTAGAATGACGGGGACCAATCTTAAAAGATGATGATGAACTAGATTCTTTTCTAGAATGTAAGTAGACATAAAAATGTTAAGAACAATCAAGATGAGATGTTCTAAACGCTGGAAATTGATATATCTTTTTTTTTTTTTGGTTTGGTAAACCGCAGTCATTTCTTGTTTTAAATCTGATTCGTTTGGCTTCATCCTACAGCTAGAAGATGAGCTTGATCCCACAACTGTGGTTGTCGGGTTAAACTCTTCTCTTTGACCATTAGATCAAGCTAATAGATTAAGGGCCAGTTTGTTTTTTTTTTTTTAAAAAAAAAAGTGGTTTTAACTAGACTAAATATGAGGAAGTTGTTGTGAGTATGAGGGAACTGTTGAGAGAATTTAAGGTAAACAGACAATGTATTGAAAAAAGCTTATCTCAACAAGCTATTAGGAATAACTTGTAAAAAAAAAAGAAAAAAGAAAAGAAGCTAAAAATAGATTTTTCCTCCCAACAACTCAAGTGTTACACTTAATTAAATTCAGATAGAAGAAGATGATACAATTTTTTGGACAATGCTGGTGTAATATGTAATTTGACATGAAATCAGGTTGGAGGAAGGATAGTGGAGTATAAGGGCTAACATATGTGACCGTGAGAGGAGCAGGTCATTTGGTACCACTCAACAAGCCAAGTAAAGCTCTCTTCCTCATTCATTCCTTCCTATCTGGAAAGCATCTCCCATGTCAATGATCTCTCCTCTGCATCTTCTTGTGGGTGGTCCTGAAATTAATCTTGGAAAAAATAATGAGAGAGACAGAGATCATAAAGTGAAATATGCCTTTGCGGGACTCTCAAGCCCACAAAGTAGAATTAGATCTCAACTCTATTGGCCTTTTTCTGAGGTATAATCAGAAGAATCCTGATTCCTTCAATTGTGCCAGTACCTGCTTTTGTAATAATATTACTCAATATTTGAGTAGATTATGACATCATTTTTTTAAATTAGCAGTATATTGTCTTAACCAGAATAAAACAAGCACTCTATTAGCAAAATTAAATAGGCTAAATGGTCATTTTTGCCTTGAACTTTTTCTTCAAAGTTATGAAAATCCTGAACTTGATTGTAAGTCATTTTTGTCTCTAAATATTTGAAATTTGCTATCTTGTCACCCCAAGTGAATGTGTTTAACCATCATTATGTGAGTCCTAATATTTTCATTTTTAAATATTTTTACTCTCTCCGTTAAAAAATATAAGGTATTTTTTGAAGAGTTGAATATTAAAAAATATAAGGCATTTTTAATCTTTTGAGCTATATTGCTTTTTTTTCAAAAATACCTCTATTAATAGTGATTTTATATTTATTGTAAGTTGTTTAATAGAGACAAATATAAAAAGATAAAATTAGTTTAAAAATAAATAATTATTTTATTAAAAAATAAAATTTTATTAAAAATATTTTATATTTTTAAATGAAGGAAATATAAAAATTAATGATCTTTTTTATTTTAATTTTTTTTTAAATTTATAGATATTCTGAACTCAATTTTGAATATTTTTGTCTTTGTGCGTTTGAAATCTGCTACGTTGTTAGTGGACCCACGCTTTGCTGAGCTGGCTTGTACTTTTTTTTAAACTTTTTTGTTTGTTTGTTTGGTTTTTCGCCATGTCTGCCATTGACTTTTAAGAATCCAATTCTTGCAACTTCCAGAACCCTAGGCGAGTTCCCTGTCGTTTTTCCAGCAAATTGCTGGTGGCTCAGAGTCTCATCTTACTTTTGCTCTGTGAAAGACTGAAACTGACCAATGATTCTTTAAAATGTCATCGTTTCTTTGGGTAGGTTCTTGACATTAATAATTTTAAATTAAGTGATTAAATTGATAGTTGTTTAAAGTTAAAATAATCAAATTTAAATTTATTTTTTAAATTATAATTTTTATTTAAATAATTATAACTTTTATGTCATGAACCATAAAAATTAAACAATAAATTATAACTTATTGTATGAATGTTTTTTATGAATAAGAAAGAAATTTTAAAAATAATTAATTATAATTACAATTTTTATTTAAATAATTACTGTTTTGATTCTGTAAATTGAAAAATGAAATAATAAATCACAACATGTAAAATTTATTTTATTATTTAAGTTTAAGTTTTAAAAATAATTAATTATAATTTTTATTTAAGAAATTATAATTTTTATCATGTGAATTACAATAATTAGACAATAAATCATAATTTTTCATGTAAAATTTTTTTATTATTGAAACTCAAGTTTTGAAAATAATTAATTATAATTTTTATTTAAACAATTATAATTTTATTTCATAAATCACAAAGATTAATAAATCACAACCTTTCATGCAAACCTATTATATATATTTTGTAAAATAAGAGATAATTAAATTATTTAACTTAAAATTATTAATATAAAAAATACTTAAAAACTTTAAAAAAATTACAACATTTCAAAAATTTAATTGTCATCTATATATTTTGTAAGATTTTATTATCATTTTTTAAAATAAATCCACGTTTCCTTACACGTCACATGAATCATTGGCTTCCCAACTTTTAGTGGACTCCCCACAAAATCATCGAGTTCAAGGGTAAGTTCTGGCAATTTCTCTTTAACCCTAATGCCAAGTTAGTGACACACGATGGATATGGAATGATTGAAAGCATATGCATAGACGCCCACACCATGTTTGATGAAATGCGCAGCTGAAGATTCGTCAAAGAGCTCATTTTGGATTTGCCCAAAAACCAGTGAATCAATCCAAAGGTAGGAATCATGATAAGGTCAGGGTACCAACCCCAGCACGCTTACTACTGACACACATAGTGTCAATGGTAATTATCACTTTTGCGTCCTTGGTTAGTGGAATAAGAATTGTAGTGACAATTATCATCTCGTGCTTCTTGTGGTCAACACCCAATAGTATTTGACTGCCAGTGGCCCCACATGTCACGAAGTTTTTCAGTACTGTATCTGATGTGAAGGGGGGAAAAAATAAAATTAATGTAATATTCTTGCTGCTTGACTTTTTAGGTATTGTATATTTGTATTATCTATTACGTCTTTAATTTATGATTCTTATCGCATGATCTTTTAATTGCTAAATTTGTACGGTTCACGAGTCATCAATGGTAGTCCAAGCCCATGACTCGCGCAACATGGTAAGATCAAAAGCTAAAAGTCATCAATCTCAATATTATTAATATAAAATCTAAAATCTAAACATTAGCCACTCTTTTTATTATAAATAATAGTGTTGTATTGGACTCTACAACTTCTTTTTCATACTTTCAGTCTTATTCACACATTTTATTAGTTTTCTTGTAATTTTTTTATTGGGAGAATCTGAAGACCCTCATAGTATAAAATTTTGTATTTAAAAATCTAATATAATTTAAAAATTCTCTACAGAGGCCTTAAATGAAAATATATTCTAAAAAAAAATGTATTTGTTTTTAAACATTTTGTTGTCAATTACATGGCATAATGTTAAGAATTTATAAATATTATGTTGTGCATTTATAAATATATTATTATTCTTTTATTTTGCACAATTTATACATTTCAAATTAAATCATTTTCATTAGACCATGTATATTATAGAATATTATATTAAAAATTTATAAGCATTGTGTTGTGCATTCATGTATAGAGAGAGGACCAATGTGTATTTTCTTGTTAAAACATATTTCTATTTGAAGCTTTTGAGCTTATAGAGAGTTTTCAAATTATATTGGACCCTAAATGCAATTTTTTATACTTCAGGGGCCTAAGTGAGATTCTCCCTTTTCATTCTTCCAACCAGACACATTTTTCTGTACATTGTATGAAGTTCGGGTTGCACTATTTATGGTTTATGAACAGTATGGTTAGATTTATATTTCATTTTGATTGATAAATTAAAATTTATAATGATTTACATTTCATATTCATGTTTCTTCACACACATTTCAGCAACATTAAGGTAGTGGATATTAGTTTTAAAAAATAATGTTAACTGTCTTGTTGAAGAATAAGTTGGCACAAGCAGTTACAAAAGATAAAATTAAATTCATAAAAATAGAGGTGAAATTAAAGCAAGAATAAATTATCGGAAAGAAAAAGAAATTTCATCTAAAAAAATGATTAGATAACAGGAACTTCAGAAGAACACATGATCATGTAAAGAAAACTATTCAGTGGTTCCGCTTCTGACAGATTTTTGTGTGGAGCGGTTTAGTTTTTCTTATGTGGCTGAGGATGATTCTATTGGTGGTTGCAGCCACTTCTAAAAATTCCAAGTGATGCCAAGGATACTGCCCACTTGTTAGCTCTGTATATATATGTACTCATTACCTTAAATAAAAATGTAGTCGTAAATGCTCTGCTGCTAGTAAAATTGTCCAGTTTAGTTGCAGAAATGAACATTATTCTCCGTCTTCTGTCCCTATGTTTCTACCCTTCAGCCATTTCATTCATTAAAGCATCAGAAATAAATGCAGAATCATATGAACTTGATAGGGTAATTACTCTTCCTGGCCAACCTTCAAGCCCCTCAGTCTCACAATTTTCAGGTCATATCACTGTCAATGAAGCTCATGGGAGGGCACTTTTCTACTGGTTCTTTGAAGCTCAATCTGAACCGTCCAAGAAGCCTCTCCTCCTCTGGCTCAATGGAGGTAGATTTACATCATAAAGCTTATACAACTAGTGTCGTAAGATCTAGTTTCCACTATTTTCTTCTCCTTGTTGGTCTGATGTTGTTATTCGGTTTTGCAAATGAAGGACCTGGATGCTCCTCGATTGGGTATGGTGCGGTTGTTGAAATAGGACCTTTTACAGTCAACAAAAATGGTGAAGGACTACATTTCAACCCCTATTCCTGGAATCAAGGTTTATTATGTTTTCTTCTCTGGTCTATGACATATCTAGTTTGACTATCTCATGTCTTAAATTAACTATGCTAACAAATGCTGCAAAAAAGGAGAGAATGATTTATTCTGCTTAACCCAGTTGCAAAAATTTGACCTTTTCGCAGAGGCAAATTTGTTATTTATTGAATCTCCGGTCGGAGTTGGTTTTTCTTACACCAACACATCTTCTGATCTCACGATGTTAGAGGATAGTCTTGTTGGTGAGTTTCATGTTACTGAATCTAAACTCTAACTATTCTCACCATATGAAGCAAATTACTGACATGGAAATCCACTTGAATAAGCTGAGGATGCCTACAATTTCTTGGTAAATTGGCTGCAGAAGTTCCCACAGTTTAAATCTCGAGATTTCTTTATATCAGGAGAGAGTTATGCTGGTGAGCGCTGAACTTCAAATCTCAAAGTATAATTTTGTCTGTTTGTCTGGTTCAGATCTTCTTCATGGAATCCGATCGTCATATAGGAAGAGAGAGAGAGAGAGAGGGAGGGATAGATAAACAGTATCCCCCCCATTCAATCAATTCTCTTATATCTATCATTCCCCTCATATGACATCATTTTACATGAAAAGATCTGAATCCCTTGTCTCGCTCAGGCTTTAGGGCACTATTGCAACTTTGGCTGTCCACATTTTGCAGGCCATTATATTCCTCAGCTGGCAGAGCTCATCTTTGATCGAAACAAAGATAGAAGCAAATACTCATTTATCAATCTAAAAGGTTTTATTGTAAGTAATTAAATCTCCCCAACTGTGAGGGGAAAAAAGCAAGACTTGGGGACTATACTGCCCCAGATGATTAGATTCCTATCTAAGTGAATATTGTTTGAACTATGCAGGTGGGGAATCCAGAAACCGAAAATTATTATGATTATAAAGGCCTTTTGGAATATGCATGGAGCCATGCAGTCATATCAGATCAGGAATATGACAACGCAAAAAAAGTTTGCGATTTTAAGCAATTTGATTGGTCTGAGGAATGCAATGAGGCCATGAGTGTGGTCTTCCGATATTACCGGGAGATAGACATCTACAACATTTATGCTCCGGCTTGTCGCTTAAATAATAATACTTCCTCCATAGCTCATGACAGTAACAACAATAGAGGCTCCGAATCAGTTCCTGAGGTGGATAGTTTAATGTTGCAAACGCACTAATTTTCAATTATGACACATGATTTACATTTAAGAGCTTTTAGTTTTGATGGGAAAAATTCTTTCAGGGGAGAAACGATTACAGACTCAGAAGAATGAGGCTTTTCGGAGGCTATGACCCTTGTTATTCCATTTATGCAGAAGAATATTTCAATAGGATAGATGTTCAGTCATCTTTTCATGCTAATGTGAAAGGAGAAAACACTAGTGTAGCATGGAAGACATGCAAGTGAGCACCAGACTATCAAAACTCATATTCCATTCATGATCCTTTTTTTTCCCCCTTGTAATTTGGTTTTTTTCTGATACTGATTCGTCTCTATCATCTGACTCTCATTTCTCAGCGGCTCCATATTAAATACATATAACTTCACCGTTTTCTCTGTCCTCCCCATCTACACAAAACTCATCAAGGGTGGTCTTAAGGTGTGGATTTACAGGTATTTCTTGTGATTCTACTAGATTCTATGCTATACACACCAAGTGATGGAAGCTTATTCTATAACAAAAACACTTATTGGAGCGTAGAGTCTCTTTCTTGGTGGACAAAAATCAGAAGAGAAGCCTAGTCCTTACTGGACAGATGGTCTTTGTTCTTGTTTCTCTTTCTTTTCTAAGGCTTCTGGTGATTGAAAATGGCAACTGAATTATTTCCTTGTTGGTGGAACAGTCACATGGTTTCTGTGCAAGGGTTGCAATAATAAATGCTCCTTTTTTGGCTTTATCATCATTCTCTCGTGTTCATGACTTCCATTAATGAACCTAATAATATGCTATGTTTGATGGATGCTTTATTTATTGTGACAGTGGGGACGCAGATGGCAGAATACCCGTGATAGGGACAAGATATTGCATTGAGGCTCTTGGATTGCCCCTCAAGTCTAGCTGGCGAACTTGGTACCATGATGATCAGGTTCACCTCTTATCTACAAATTGCTTCCTCTAATTTGGCAGATTCACATTATTTATACCAGTGATAGGAACACACATGCCACTTGCTTTTTGCCCTTTTTGGGTTTTTAAAAACTACTCCCATGGGTGACTTCTAAGTATATCACCAAAATTATCTTTGTTAAATACATCATATTAAAAAAAACACTTTATTTCTGACCATCTATAACCTTTTACTCTACTCAGAAAATTATAAAAGGGCAAAAATTATAAAAAAATAATTAATTATTCATCTTTCAATACAAATTGACTTATAAAAAAGACAATTGGTTTCTTTTAAAAGATGAATTATATAAAGAATCGGAAGAAGTACTTTTTAAAAAAATTTAGAATATTTAAGTTTTTAAAAATAATTAAAATTTGAAAAGAAAAATAAAATTTCTTACTATTTTGAGAAGTTATTTTAACAGCTTCTAATTATTTTGGCTTTTCGTGTAATGGTTTTTTTTTTAAATTATTGTAACCAAATGCAAAATAATGTTTACGTATCACAAAATATCTAAACATCAACTTTAATTTTCTTTTGACATTTATACTTCACTATAAAAAGTAAATCCTCTCTAACTGTGTCCTTTGTACAATTGGAGGAAGATGAAGGGTGTGTTTGGATTTTAATTGGAAAAAATTGATTAAGAAAAAAATTGATTATTAGAATGTGATGGTGTTTGGATAAATTTTCAAAATTGATTATGATATTGATTTTTAAAATGGAACAAATTTTAGCTTATTCCAAATGGAGTTTTGGAAACCAAATGGAGTTTGGGAGAATTGGGGTGTTTGGATAAAAATTTTCAAAACCATGATTTTAAACCCAAAATTGATTCTAAATGGGTATCCAAACAGGCCTGAATACAGAAGTGGGTTCCGTTTGACTACTGAGAACCACAATTTTGTCCATCTCTCTCTCTCTCTCTCTCTCTCTCTCTCTCTCTCTCTCTCTCTCTCTCTCTCTCTCTCTCTCTCTCTCTCTCTAATTGCATAGTCTTCAAGGTTGAAGTTTTTAGTTGTTGGATCAAACCTTTCTATTAATTGTTAGATGAAGCTAACGGACTATTTTTTTGACAAAAGAAGACATTAATTTTTTTTTTTCTGTGTTTTTTGTAATTTGACATGAAATCAGGTTGGGGGAAGGATAGCGGAATATGAAGGGTTAACATATGTGACAGTGAGAGGAGCTGGCCATTTGGTGCCACTCAACAAGCCAAGTGAGGCTCTCTCCCTCATTCATTCTTTTCTCACAGGACACAATCTTCCTACTCATACTTGAGCATATCATCATAATCATATTCATTCGGCTAATAAATTCTTCCTTTTGTTTCATGTTGCAATAAATATTGTTCTAAATCAATTCCAATGAACTAGTTGGTTAAAAAAAAAGGGAAAATGAATCAATTGGTTTAAATAAGTTTTACACTTATCTTTCTCAATTTGGTTCCTCTTTTTCTTTAATTTGAATATAGAATTGTTAGGTTTATTTAATTTTATCTTTAAAAAATTAGTAAATTTTCATATTAATCCTAAAAATTTATTAATGATGCGTTTCGATTAATAAGGACTAGGATCTGGATTTGAACCAAATCATTCATTTGAATACATAAAAAAAACTTTGAATTTGAATTTGATTCAATTTCATTTCTTATTACAATTTCCTTATAAATTTAAATTTCTTTACACCATAATCATTTGAAATTTCAATTATTTCAGACATCATATTTTCTTTATATTTTTACTATTCATAATCCATAATTTTCATATCTCATTTTCATCTCACATTAATTAAAAAATAGAGATAAATTTATTATTTTTAATTTTTTATTTTTGAATCTCAACACATAATTTTAAATCCATCTATAAATCTTCCTTTGAATTTTTTTTAAACTACTCGAACAAAAAATTTTAAATACATGACTTTTAAAATGTAAGATTTGAAATATAAAAATTTAAAATTTAAAATTCAAGTCTAAACCCACCAATCCTAATATTACTTAAATTTAGGTTCAAATTGTGAGTTTACTTAAGTGCATGCCAAGTCTTTATTTTTATTTTTATTTTTACATATATAAAGGTCTAATTTTATAATCAAAAAATGGTAAAATGATAATATGACATACAAATTGAATCAAGCTCAGCTAGTTGAGATCTTAACCAATTCCTTTCATCTTATAATTGTACAAAGATTTATGGATAACTCTCTTTAAAGACCAAAGAGCTTCGACTAGCAAGGCACGGGTTTATAAAAATCATAAAAACTAATCACACATACAATTGCATCAGCACAATTCTATACCAATTGATAAATCATCAAAACTAAAATTTTCAAGTAGATTGCTACGATCAATGACCAATTTGTGCAATAGACATGCTAAATACATATAGTTTCAGCATCAATATCAAGAATGAAAAATTTATAGAGCCACGCATTTTTTTCAGACTCCATATAATATATTGTGCTTTGTACAATTTTTCTGTTCCTTCAAATTTTTAATATATTTAAAAAGGATTTATATATTAAAAACTAAGTAAATTCCTGCAAAAATTATCTGAGTTATTATTACCCTTTTGCTTTATATCACATGAAAAAAAATACTTAATTTGGTTAAAATATATTTTTAATCCCTTAACTTTATAAAATATATTATTTTGATCCTTTCATTTTATAGTGTGTCTTTTTAATTTTTTAACTTTAACATCTTTAGCTTTATTAAAAAAAGATTCATACATTAAACTTTTAAATATTGATAAAATATTTTTAAATGCTGAAATAATAAGTTTAATTTTTTAACATAACAATTATAAAAGCAAAAAATAATTATTTAAAATTAACAATATTAAAATAAAAAATGAAAAGATATTTATAAAAATTAAAAATCAAATTAAAATTTCATATAAAATTAGAAAAAAAAAAACTTAGGTTTTGAAAGCGACCAACAAGAAACAATGATGGTGGATTTTTAGATTCTTTCAGAATTACAATGCCGTTCAATTTTTATTTTTTTAAAAGGTTGCTAGTTCATATATGATAAAGGGTTAAGATTTAATTTTATCTTGTATTTATTTTTAGGAACACTAGACAACCTATACTTTTAAATTGGATAATTTTCTCTAAAGTATTTTTTCAAGGTCTAAAAACACCCTTATGTTAGGAGCCTATTAAGTTTTTCATTTTTTGCTAACACGTAGGACTTTAATTATGTTCTTTGGTGGTAATTTTTTCTTGAACTCTTTCTCCAGGATTGCTAGGTGCTTTAAAGTATTTTTTTAAGAACATTGAATACCTTAAAGTCTTATTAAAATAAAATTTAATAAATATTACAAAAATATTACATATTTTCATATTTAATAATTTAAATATTATTATTTATAAATTTTATTCAAAATTTATAAATTAATTTTTAAATATTAATAACTCAAACTAATATTTTATAAATTTATAGATGACTTTTTATTTTCTATATATCAATTTTTGATCCTCTCTTCAAGACAATGCCTTTTGTGTGTGTGAGAACTTATTTATATATTTTAATATTGGTTAAGTTTTTTAAATTTTTAGGTCAGTTTTTGTAATTTTTTGGTCAACTAATGATCTTCCTTCAAAATATTGCATTACCCAAATTTAATACCCTTTATATGTTATAGTATTAGATGTAAAATCAGAAATATGACAAATCAGGACTAACAATATGCGAACAAAAATATTAGTTTAAAAGATATCACTTACTCTTTAATGTGCTACAAAAAAGTTACTTAACCAGAAAAAAATAGTGAGATGAGAAGAAAAAATATCTTCATTAATTTAAAAGTTTATTCCCTTCATTTTTAATTCAAAATTATAAAATATTAAAATATTAAATTAGGTGGTGCAATATTTTAAATAAAATACTTAATATTTTAATAATATTTATTAAATTTTATTTTAACAAAATTTCATATGCCAGTGCTCTAATAAAAAAATTTTAGGATGCTCAACACTCTTAGAAAAAAAATTTAGGGGTAAATTAATGCCAAAAGACATGGTCAAAATTGTATATGTCGCTGTGTGTGAGCCTTACACATGTGCCATATCAGTAAAAAAAAAGAAAACTAAACGATTGACTAACAAAAGGGGCTTTTTGCTCATCAAAAAGATATTTTCATAATAAAATTGCCTTACTTATGAGTATTGGTTGCCTAGCATTTTTAAAAAATAAATATAGAGATAAAATTAGATCTTAATTCTATCATAGAAAATGCTGGATTGCAGCATAAATTCCAATAAACCAACGTAACTATACCTCTGGTTATTCTTTAATTATAATTTGAATAAACATTTTCCTGTTCAATCCTGATTTAAAATCATTACTTTAAGCTTTTCCGGTTCATCTATCTATCTACTTATATCGTAAGATCCATTGGATTACTATAGAATAACAGATGAATGAATAGTGACTTTCTTTCTTTATCCTTACTGACATTAATTAAAGAAATAAAATCAAACCTCAAACCAAAATTAAAATCAAATTAACATCAATATCATAATCAAATATTCCATCAATAAAAATAAACTCAGCAAAAATCAACATCTAAATCTAAATGTTTTCATCAAATAAAAATGAACTCAGAAAAAATAATGAAGAAACATGTCATCAGTAGAAAGCAAGCAAATATAATTAACACCAGTCAATTAAAGCCAAGAAAAATAGAGTTGACTATGTGACCACACGTTCTGTGAGTCATTTTCAAAGAACACTTTTCAGTTTATACTAAATAGGTAAAACATATCAACATTACAAACCTAGCTGACAGATTCTATTGCAAGAAAAAAGTTGAACCAAATTTTTTTGAGAAAATATCTGCAAAACCAATCTCAAGATTTCATATTTCAGAATCATAAATACATAAGTGAAAGCAGACTATACTAAAGGGAAAAGACAATTGCATACCTCGAGGTCAGATCATACTGCATATGCATGTTATCGCTGAAAAGATCTTCTTGACCTCATAGATTTTGAGCATTCTTCTTAGTTAAAACAATCACTAAATAACATTATAATTGTTGTAACAATATTAGATTAGCACAATTTTGCCTTCTATGCTAATTCCATCGACTTCCATAAAAAAAATCCTGTAAGAAAAGGATGAAATTAAACTTTACCTGCTGTATCCTAATGCATACAGGAGCAATTTTTTGTCCTCTGCAGGAGGTTGATCTATATGAAATTAAAAAAAAAAAAAAAACTTCTATCAGTAGTATAATTTCATCATCCAAGGATTTCTGCAATAAGCTAAGTTATAATGGACAGTTGCTATTCTTCCTAACAATTACCAATGTTAGTATTTAACATTTGAATTTTACCTGATAATTTTCCAGTCAATATAAATGGACAGCTATATAGATGACAACTGTGTTCTTCCTAATAATTGAATGTTTGGCAACACCTCATATATCTAACAGTTGAATGCCTCATATTATAAACTAACTGCCAACATTATTACGTGGCTTCCTATTTTAAGCTTCTTACATCTTCCAGTGCTTGTAGATTTATGTTCAAGTCTAGATTCTACTTTATTAAATGAGTTGGTAAAATGTAGAGTATAAAGACAACCGATTACAAATAAGATGACCCCAGAATCAGAATAACTAAAGGAAAATCTTCATAAAAAAAAATAACGGATCAAAAAATTTACTGTATCAAGAAAAGTAAATAAAAAAAACAACTATATAATCAGAAATTAGGAAACATTTCATTAGTATATCCTGAATTAGGTCATAAGTATCACAAGTTGCCAAAGGCGAGTACATAATAATAATAATAATAATAACACGAACTCACAATTGGCAGATACAAACACAAAAAAAAAAAAAAAAAAGGCAGAGACAGCTATTATTCCAATCAAATTGCTCTGAGAAAATATCTGCAAAACCAATCTCAAGATTTCAGATTTCAGAATCATAAATAAAGAAACAGAAGCACACTATACTTAAGCGACGAAGAGCACCGATCTGGTAATATTGACTGCCCTATGTTGCCTTTCATGCTCCTTATGACTCATCCTAGGTTTGCCCCCTTAATTTTTGGTTGCTTCTTATCATAGCTCCTTCAGCTTTTCATTTGATTTGTAGCTTTATTTAGGCTGGCATGTTGTTTTTCTGTTTTCTATGCATGTTTATTGATTAAAAATCATATAAGCTATTGCAAATATTTTGAGTTGCTTTTTGAGAAATTTTCTGGCCGTTTCTTCTTATATCAGAAAGACTGATGATACATCTAAAACCCCAACACTTGTTTTACAGACTGGTGTACATGATTCAACCCTTACAAAATTTGATGGGCAAATTTGGTTTGTCTTGTATTTATTTAGTTCTTTGGATTAATTGCTCATCTCTGATCTCAGTGTTTGCTGTAAGCTATGTACATGTTAGCTTATTAACCTGTAAATTTGCTTCTTAAAAGTTATAATCTGATGTATTATATCTGTTGTTTCTTTGATTCAAGTATTATCTGTGATATTTATTCACTATCAGTTCTAAGCTGCGTTCTTTTATTCTTTAAATGAGGTTTGAGCAGTATAATTCGTGTTTTTAATGCTTTCATTTCAGTTGTGTTTTTACTAGTCTATGAAACTGGTACAATCTATGTTTCTATCTCAGAATTGGTTTTCTCCCCCATTTTGATATTTACTTATCTTGGATATGTATTCCAACTCTTTTTTCCAAGATTATATGCCTGTTTGGTTTTATGACCTTATAATGTCTTTTGCTGTTAAAAATTTGACTTGCAAAGTTTGATTTTGATTATTTTAATTTCCTGTTGGAAAAACAAGTCACAGTGCCAGTATGTGTGTCTGCTTCTGATGCATTATTTATTCTTTCATAATATCAGTAATTAGTTGGCCTTTCTTGACTGATTTTTGTGACTTTAGTGGTTTTGTTGGCCTGAGTTCTGATTCACAAAAGAAAGACAATAGCTGAGGAAGATCTCGCACCCCTTCTTTATATGGATGTCTGTAAATGGGGGCGCTATAAAAGGATGGTTTTTGAAGTACCCTTTTGTTTTCAATACTTTTGAATTTTGCAACTTTGACTATGAGTGTAGAAGTGCAACCTAATTAATTCTTTCGCCCTCCCAGCTATTTCATGACAAAACCCCCTACACTGCGTCAAATTTCCATGCGCTATGTACAAGTAACAATCTGATCTCATTTTGTTTATACCCCTAGTAGAACCCTCCTGTGCTGGAATTACAGTCTCACTAATTGGACAAGCCCCTGGACATGCTAATTTATTTGGATTTTATGGTTTATGCATGATATGGCTTCCCCATTTGCTATTTAGGCTTCTCTTTGTTCAGGTGAAAAGGGAATAAGTCCCAAAACTAGAAACCTTTTGTCTTACCTACAGTGTTACTTTTACAAGGTTAATAACCTATCCAATGTGAAGGTATGTACTAATATAGTTTTAGGGTTTTACTTATTCAGTTGTCCATCTTACAATACTAAATGGGCTTTTTATGTCCAAAACCATTTTCTATGCAATGTGGCATCAAGACTAGGGACTGATAGCCATTTTCCTTTGCAGGGAGGTGCTTTGTGTCCAAGAGGTACGATGTCTATCAATGCATTGACCTTAGGATGACACACTTGACTACTTTCTAAAGTTTGTGATTTGATACAATACGTTTTAGTCAATTTCAATTGATTCAGTTATTATTATTTTTTCTAATTATTACTTATTACTGAATAATGAAAGTAGATTCATTTTTTGGTGCATATCACGATATTCGTAGAACGAGCCATGATGTTCATTGCCTGTGAATGATGCTACTTGTTATGTATATTTTATATTAGATATTGATGTATTGATTTCAAGTAAATTTTGTATCCCGTGTGTTCAAATCATTGGGGTTCCTAAACAGTAGGAATTAAGACTAGCAGTTGAGGATTTTAATTGAATCTTTTTCCCCAATTAAAAATGTTGTTCCCAAGATGTATTTCTAAACGAGTGCATAAATAGCGTATTTGTTTGGAAATTGTGTTTATAACTAGTTGCTACAGTGTACGTATAATTCTTCAGTTCATGTAAAATACTGTTTTACTTAATATGAATTGTTATTTGAATGATCCTCTCAACATTTTATCATATTGATTAAGTAATGTTGGGTTCTTAATACTCGCAATGTTAATTACAATTATAAGTTTCTTCTGGTCTGATGTCCAGTTTGCTACAATTTTCTGAACGTACCAATCATTTCTCCTCCTTTCTATAATTAATGCCAACTCTTACACCTTTGCCTCTCATTTTTAATCGTCTTGCAGGGGAAGGTGGAGATAGCATATATGGGCCATATTTCCCAAGTGAGAATGCTAGATCATACTTTTGAATAGTTATCAAAATGTCTGTCTATTCATTTTGATGAACAAGGTTTCTGAATTGTTGTGATTTATTTTAGTTGAGGAAAATGAGTGTAAGCATGATAGGGAAGGGTTACTATCAATGGATAGAAGAGACTGTAATGATTGTGGGTCTCATTTTGTGATAACATTAGGAGCTGATCGCAACCTTGACAGGTTCTTTTATATTGTTAACTCTTGTTTTGCTTTGTTTTTTCCACTTGACCAGCTGGGTATCATTATAAAATGCCTAGCCTTCAAACATTGCATCTGTAAAAATACATAATATACTAATCCTGTTGTTTGGAATCTTTTGGAGTTCTCATGTGATTTGTACATGGACTTGATGCGGCGCGGGATATTGGAGAATGGAAATCCTTATCACCAATTAGAATCATCAGTTGTGGTGCATATGACGGTAGGTCATTTTGATTCTTAATTTTATTAAGAATGACAATTTTCTTTAAGCTCATAAAAAACGTTTTTTTTTTTTTTTTTTGCAGCTAGGCACAGGCCTTGGTATTTGGATGATGTGCGGTCAAGTCCTTGTAATAGAGTGGCTCTCTTCCCTAAGCCATTCACGTCCTCACAGGGCATTAATGATGGGATAGAGCCATCTTCTTCAAGGAAATCTCAAGAGCCAAGTAGATTACCCATCTTTTGCTCCATCTTCTGCAGGGAAACGTCTAACGGCAAGCGAATTTGAGTTTAAATTTTCTAATAAAACCCAATCATATATTTTCTAATGAAAAATTTGATGAAGGTCATGAATAGTTCAAAACCTAAATATACTGATATGAATAGGATAACATGTAGGAGTATTTTTTTCATATTAAGCTATGTTATGTCTTGCTGGTGATTGGATGATATTGGAAAAGTAAGGAGGCCGGGTAGCACTTTTCAGAAAGCAGATGATATACTTCTGTTTGGTTCAAAAAATAGTATGTGGGCACAGAATGTGAAGATTGTGAATATTGTGGTGGCACAGAATCAGAATGTGAATATGGTGAAGATTGGGGAGAAGGAAGGGAAGATCTTGTCCTTCTCGTTTGAGGAGAAGCTGTGAACAGAGAAAGGCGTCCCAAGGGGATGATGGCTCTCCGATGGTAGTCTCACTTATGTTGAAAATTTGGTTTAGGTGGTTTTAATTTTGTATCATATGTCAGTTATTATCAAGTTATTTTCAGTTTTGTGTTTGTCTGGTTGTTATTTTTAGCTATTATGGCAGACTATAAATACTTATTATGTATGTCATTAGACTTATAATTGAAATATTATCCAGTATATTTGTGACTCTCAATCTCTAAAATTTTAGGGCTTGTTTGGTTATTGTTTTTTTTTTTTTAAAGGTGTTTTATAATATAATTTTAAAAACTGTTTTTGAGAACAAGTTAAAAAAAAACTTGTTTGGTAATAACAACCTTAATACAGTTTTAGAATTAAAAAACAAAAAAAAACTTGTTTGGCAAAATTAATATTGCCGAAAACTAAAATGCAATAAAATTTGTTTAATAGTAATTGTTTTGGCTGTTGTTTTGAAGTACATATTTAATTTTTTTGAAGTTCTCCACACTTTACAAAATGAGTAATATTTATAAGAGCATGAATTTATTATATTATTACTAACTTATTTTACTAATAATATAATCTCACAATTTACGTGAAGGTGATAAATCAAAATAACTAAATATGATAAAAAGGAAAAATAAAATTCATGAATTAATTTCAACTTGAAATTGACGTTGACTCCAAAGAAAAATAAAAATAAAAGTAATATAAATGAAATGAGATAAACTAAATAATGTTTTGAAAACTGTTACTTCAATCTCATTTATCATGATTGTCAAATCTCCACTTAATTGAAAAACAAATTCTAAGCTCAACATAAAAAGTCAAATCAGTTTAACCAATTTATTAGTTACATTATAGCCATATCTTATTTGCAAGACAATTTCTATACATTGTCATACCTACTACACCTTGATCAATTATCAAAAAAATATCATCATTTTGAGCTTGTTCCTTCTATCTCACGTGGAGCGACATTCATGACAATAATTTCTATTTCCTTTTCTTTCTAAATCCTGATCAATTTATCATGCAAATTTTATTTGCTTATATAATTGTAAATTGTATAACATACTATAACTATTAGTCATTAACTGAAAGGTTTATATGGAGGTATTAATTTTAAAATGAGAAATCTGTTTTTTAAAACTTCAAAACAACATTCAATTGTCATTTTCAAAGATAAATACCTATAATTAAATAACTCTTCTCGACTCTTGAATTGTATTCTTTTATCCCTATATTTTTGTGCACAATACCTATCATAAGAGAAAAGAAAACCTCTCATGTATAAATAGTCAGAATTAACAAGATAGAAAAATCTACATCAATATAAAAATATGTTAAATTTAAATTTTTTTTTCAAAACATAATAAAATTATAAAACTAGTGCTCACCTCTGGATGGCTAAGGAAAATGTGTATTGAATTGACAAGTACATCCATAAAAACTTTTACATTATGTGCACTTCCTTTCCATCCTACTACACATATGTAAACATTATATTGAAATCACAAGCGCAAAGCTCTACATGACACTCTGCATGACTATTGACTTTTTACTTCGACATGAAAATTTTTTATATGCAAGACACGTGCACTGATATGTGTACCATCAATTGCACTGAAACAATTCTACAACAAAACCTAAACAAACAAAATTAAAAATACATTTATTCAAACACATAAACAATATTATAAATGAAAAATTTCATACTTTGAACCATGGATAGTATTTTGTATTGGTTTTAATCTTTGTCAGGTAATTTTATGGATTCTTATTTTATCAACTCTTTTCTTAGTTGACATACTATTCTTAACACTTCTTTAAAGTAATGAGAAATTATTTTTGTTGAATGTTGTAAACGATCAGCAATAATTTTGTGACGAACATGATGATCAATTGTAAATAAAAACATTGCAACTTTTTCTTCTATAAACATATCCCTTTAGTTTACTAAAAGTTAACAAAACATGTCTTCTCCATTTAAAACAAGTCAAAACAAGTTGTCCTAAATCTATTTAATACTCAACAATAAAGTCATAATTATATAATATAAATGTTTGAGCCTTTGTTTTATTTAAAAAATTTTGATCATAATCATAAATTATATCAATTATCAATAACTAGAGAAATTATCATCACTTGATTCAGAAGTATCTTTATTATTATCTTTTAACGTTTTATTTTTCATTCTATTTATAACATGCCATACAATTTCAAAAATAACATAATCAATTTTACAAACACACATGACAATATGTCACTGTTCAATTTCAAATGATCACTCCTGCACATGGCAATTTCCCATCAAATTATGATATAGAAAAAGCAACAGGTCGCAGATGCTGATAAGCAACAGTGATTACAAGTAAAATAAGGTCTATTGCTGATGAAAGTGATGTAAGCACTCCAGTTGCAGTACTCATTTCCGCTGTTGCAACATTTTCCATCTTCTGTCGTGATAAAGAAGCTTCCCGAGCTCTGCCCCTTTTTCTACTAGGGGTTTAGCTGCAAGCAACCATCGCCCGTCGCATCTCCACAATCTCCTTCTCTAACCTACTCTGTTCTTGCTTTGTTGGCCAACGTATGGCTGCCTCTGACCTTATGGCATCAGCGAAGAGCATCTTGACTTCCTCAACTCAAGGGCATCAACATTACCGTAGACAATCACCACCTTAGCCCTTCCGCCCCCGCTGATCCACTATAAGAATTTTCTAGGAAGGACGTGAGGAAGATTCTGAGCGCATTGCAGCTCGAGAAGCTCAAAGTCACACTGAGGAAAATCCAGAGAGCTCCATTTCTTCCTTTGAATATGTTGCAATCTGTTGAAGGATGCGAGGATGAAGATCAAGGCTTGGAGTTTGCCAAGAAGTTAGGTGACTCTGGAAACATCATCTTTTGGGGAAACATGGTATTTCTATGGCTCAAGTAGGTAATGGATCATGATAATCCTAATTATTGTAATGAATTTACCTTAATCAATGTTTCCTTCTTGTGTGTCTGGATGATACAAGAAAAAGTGGCATCTTATCGGAGGCGCTTGTTGCAATTGTGGTTCCGATTTCACTGCAATATGATTTTTGTACAAATGTCGCCGCCACGGCTAAGTTCTTTGCAGATAACAGGATGGTGAAGGCGGATTTGGAGAGGTTTACACGGTATCAAATTTGTGTGCTTTCTTGGTTTTCACATGAAGTTAGGCCACTTCACTTATATATATGCTGACTTTATGTTTGAAATTCAGGCCATGCTTTCAAATGGACAAGAAATTCCGATAACTTCATGTTATTAGTTCCAAAGATGCACGTCACAATTTAGGTGGGGGAAGCTTTCTTTAAGAATTTTGTAAATTTATTTTTGTTCTTAAACTACCTACTTTCTTGACTAGTTGATTTGAGCTTATTTTCTTTTCTTTCTTTTTCCTTTTTCGATTCTTATATTCGTCAAGTGATCAATTTATATAAAAACCTAAATTCTTTATTCTAATCATTTTTTCTGTAACAGATAGGATCAGAAGGCATACAAGGCAATCTTTAAAGTATTAAACTTGTCAAGATTTGTTAATTACCAAATATCCATATTGCAGATTCTGAAGTACAAAGGTTTGTAAATCTAGCCCTGGGAATTCTTAAAACTAATTGCTTTGGATGTTGACATAACATCAAGAAAGAAACTGAGTTCGTTGGTTCATCCAAAGATTTCTCTTTTTTAATTGGTCCTTTCTTTTAATGAAAGAGAGGCTGTCTAATTTTGAGTTATCGGATTTTTTTTTTTTTTTTCCGGGAAGAAGCATATCAGTTCTTTGTAAGCTTACACAAGCTCCATAATTTTTTTATTTAATTTTCTTTTTCAGATGCCTCAATTATGAGATATGGATGCATGGATATTTCTTAGATTTTTCTACTTTGCTTGACTGCCTGTTTTAGTTGAAGAATATAGATGCATGAATCTTTTTTCGAATTTCTTGAATGTTGTAAGTTGTCTCACATGACTTCCGGAATTGTGATCTCGGCACAAGGACTTTATGTTGAAAGCCTGAACTTCTTGATTATATTTAGTTCAGGTTTCATAAATCAATCAATTACTGCATCATTTTGGTGGTAAATCTAAAACATAATCTTTTAATAGATTGAAGAATTGCCGAAGAGAGGCTTTCTTTGTGATTCTCTTCTTGGATTCAGCTCGCAAATTCATGCTGAAAAGACTGATATTTGTGAGTTGCATGAATTTAATTTAGGCTAAGAAAATTTCTCAAAAAAGGGGCAAGTTTATTCTTTATTTTCTCGCACATCTTTTGAACATGCATAAGTGATTGTTTCTAATACCTGTCAAACCATTACAATAGCTTCATCATCACAGCATGAATAATCAAATGTTTGGTCAGATTTAAAAGGAGTTGCTATGATTTATGAGATAAATAAAATTGTAATGGTTTAACAAATTTTAATACACAAGCACAATTCTAGAATACCTGTAATGGTTTGACAGATATTAAAAACAATAAAAGATCTATCACTGTATCTTTATGTCTCAACTGTGGTCCTCAAGGTGATGCTGTATCACCCAAATAGAATAAAAGATCTATTCTTGCATCCAGCCTATTGTTTTTATTTTATCATGGACATGTTTGCTTTGTTTATTCAATATTGACTTGTATGATCCCATTACACAATTGAAATCCTTTCTGCAGAGTACCCCAATTGAACTATTTTCAACGTGGGAAATTGGATTCTGAATGACATATTTGCAAGAATGAATAAAGACGTGCCTCATTTAAGATTCATATTATAATCTGTGATAGTCATAAATTATTGAACACCTTGGTTAGTACAGCCAATTGATAGTTTGGGAAGTGGTTTAGAAGGTTTAGTTGCAACTGAAGAGTCATCTTATTTTTCTCTTTTTTCCATAGATCAAGGTCTATGAGTAATCTTCTCTCCTTTGTTGATAAGTGACTAAGTTTAATGTCTTCACATGTTAACATGCTATGAATTTATGTTGTTTTATTTCTAGGTTGTTAGTACAACTTCTATGGGAATTTAGCAAAACGATGCTATCTTTGGTATGTGATTCACTTGTAACTCATTTACTTTTGCTTCTTTTTAACTGTATTTATTGATTGATTGATTAAGGTAAGCTCATTTACATTTTTTGAATGGAACTTGTCCTTGTAGGGGACTGTACTCTTTGACATATCAATATATCTATTATTATCTAAGAAAGTAATTCCACCTATTATCTATTATTTATCTAAGAAAGTAATTCCACCAAGCCATGGAGAAAAAAGTGGCTTCTCTCACAAAAAAACTGTTCACAAAGCCTTTTTATGATGTGGCTTAGTGAACAGTAACAGCTTCTTATTAGGCTTGTGGTGAGCCACTTTGCAGTGTATTGGGCTACATGCAACAAATAAGAAATAAAATTGGCTGGTTCATTCCCATGCATCTATTACCTTTATTAACGCGGGATGGCCATGTCTACAGTAAATGAAAAGTTCTCCATCTATTGCTTTTATTAACCTGCTCCAGGACATTACGTGCTCCAGTTCTTTCACGCTACCTTTTGGTTTCATTTATTTAAATATTTAATAATTACTTTATTGTCTTTCTTTTTTGTTATATGCTTTTAAAATTTAAAAGTTGTCTTTGGGGGCGCTTGCAGTATGCATTTGCTTACCTTGGGGAAAATTTAAATGCTCGTCCTTTCTTGATTACCTGATTACCGCTTTCAGGGTTCGCATGACATGAGGTAATTGCTGCAAGAACAAGAATATTGCAATCCGCTGGCTGTTTTCTTTTTGGGTTCCCTGGAGTAGATATTTGGCAATGCCTGGTGTCGGATCCGGCAAACATCGTGGTTGTTATTGGTGCTTTCCCCTCTGGATTTATCTTTCCCCACCGTTGTTTTTTTTTTTTAATTTTTTTGTTTCTTTTTGTTGTTTCCCAGCTCATGGTGTTTTCCTCATGTGTTTCCCATTTCAGGTTCTGGTTTCCTGAGGGTGATTGTGGTGCTGATTCTGCAGGGTGTTGTTCTTCTGTTATGGGTAATGGATGTCGCTATATTTGGTTCTTGCGTTTTGGATGAGTTTTGCATTGTTCTTTCGTGTCATTAAGCTTGTTATGTGTAATGACCAGAGCCATTTCTGACTTGATTTCAAGACAGCTGACTTTGGCTTCTTCTACAAGCTCAATCTCTTAGGCACATTTCACTCTCGGTATCATTACTCCTCCTGCAAGCTCAATCAGTTAGCACACATTTGCTGAAAGGTCCTCTGATTCTTTTGACTCCGACCACCGCTTCCGCCAAGAGACAAATCCTCCAAACGCCGCTTTCTTTATCTTAGGTATGGGTGATCCTTTTCTCTCTACCTATTCTCATCTTTCCTTCTTCATCTCATCCCATTACCCTGCTATGGACATAAGGAGAAATTGAAGTCAACAACAGAAATTGGTTATGCCATGGACAAGCCAGAAAACGATTGTCTGTTTTTTTGTTGCATTTTGTGTTTCAGAAAATGGTTGCCACTCATTGGGAACATCCCCCATCTCTCTTTTTCTTCCTGGGCTGCTCTATTTTTCTACACTTTCAGCCAATATACATGATTTATGTATTTTGAAGACATATATTATCTTAAAGAGCTAAAGGCGTCATCTTGATCGTTTGAACCTATGGAACAACCTGTGAACTTCGTCATTTGGCCGCCAAGGTATCAAATCTTAACCGTCTGTTATATTCCCCGCATTTGGCCCTCTAACTATCAAAATGTCATTTTTACATCATTTTGCAGGGATCAAGGATTGATGGTGAATTATGGCGAAGAGGAGGAGAAATGCTATATCTTCTTTTGGAAGAAAGAGACAGAATAATCAACCTCGTACTGTAGAAGTTGCTGAGTTGCTGCCATTGGCATTGCTAGAGCAAGGAACCAAAGAGGTAATCTCGGTCTCTCTTCACTCCTTTTTGCTGTATTTATGCTCAAGTATTGATGTCATTAGCAATTTTTATGTTCTAATAAGATTCTGAGAGTAATTTATGTTGAAAGGATTGGTAGGTAGATTGAACATTTTTCTATGTTTTGAATGATGCTAATCACTTTATCTGCCAATGGTTTAAAATGCGTCATTTAACTTTTGTGGTATATTCTTTTACCATTAAACCACTGTCTACTATTTTCTTAAATGTAAGTAACAGAATAATCAAGGATTTAACTCTGTCATGACATATATTGACTCTGCTTAGTATAAATACGAAGCCAAATCACCATCCTCTTTCCTCAATTATCACACAGGTTTGCCTCTACAGAGTTAAAATATTTGAGAAACTGAGCACAGTGCCTAATGTGATATAATTAATAGTTTTAATGATTGGGTGTCAAGGATTTGTTTACTTGTCTTGGGACTCATATGGATCTTTGATATGGAAGCAACATGATTTCCACCTCAGTCACATGCAATTTATTTAATTTAAAACCAACTCCAAAAAGGAAAAAAAATTTATAATTTTCCATGAATTTATAGTTCTAACATGATCTATGACCAACTAAGTTAGAATGCATTTAATTCGAACATTTATAATTTTCCATGAATGGCCCAGCTGGGACTTTCAAAGCCATGTGCCCATGTACTCCTCTGATTCTTTTGAGTATGTGTTAAAAACAATGTGCAATCCCTTTTGAGTATATGTTGGTCATCATTTTGTAACTAGGGATTTTGATTTTGAAGCTTCTCTTTGATTGATTTCATGATAGTGAAGGCAAGCCCCAATCATCATCTGTCATTCTCTATTTCTCTCTCTGAGTTCTGAAGCTGAAGTTTACTAAAAGGTGGTTCATTTATATCCTGAGAAGGAATTTTTGAGGCACTGTAGATGGCCTTATCTTTATTTTGAGAGGGATAATATCTACTGAAAATATAATTGCCTTTTGCTTATACATGTGATTGATTAGTCTGGAATTTCTCCAATGTTCCTTCTTTTAAGCCATGTTCTTACTACATCATATAGGTGCTGGGATACAGTAATTAAGTTGATTGGATCTATATATATATATATTATATGCGCGCTCGCGCTCTTGCTGGAGCCTGAAAGGTTTACATAAAAATGCTTGTGAGATTTTTGTGCGTGCGTGCGTGTGTAGATGGGGCTATATTTTGGATATATGTATGACCATGGTCTCTTATCAAAATAACTAATGCACTTACCGTTAAAATATTGTTTTCCTGATGATTTTTTTTTTTGGGGTTGACCTGAATTCCTGATGTATTATAAGTACTGCATATATGTTAAAATGGTCATTGCCTCTGTTACTTATATTCTCATAATAATGATTGATCAATCATTTTAGCTTCTTAGATGCTTTTCTTACTGACAAGTGAGAATTCTTAATTTTAGGTTCTTAACAAGGTTGTTTTTATGCCTTCTCACTTCTGTTTCATTTGTTGGATTATTATTGATTATTGATGTAAAACTATTTCAATCTAAGAATGGATGTGTGAATTACCTTGCTGAGGAAGATGGTCATTTATGGATTCTTTGAATTTATTGTCGGCTTTTAATTTAGAATCAACATTTCAGCTTGAGATAGTGAGCTTTTTGATTATGTTGAAATTTTTTATAAAATAATTTGATCATGTTTATATTTGATAAACACTTAAAGGGCATGAGTTTTTCATCTTTTTTAGCTACATTGGCTCTTTCGTTTGATATGGCCTGAAACTAAGGGTCCTTAATGAAATCTAAGAGAATTTTCAACATGAAATGCCACGAGATGGCAATCTGTAGCATTTATTGAAGACCACTTGGTTTGCATGTTGTATTTTGTCCCATGTTTCTTGGAGATTTCCAATGGATTCTCTCTATTGTTTCAATTGGTTGTACTTGCATCTACCTATTGACCATTTAAAAAATGTCGATTTGTGTGCATGGTACTTTACCTATATTCGTATCTATTACAATTGATTTAGATGCTGGATTCTCTCTCGCTCTCTCTCTACTCTTTATTGTTTCAATTGGTTACACTTGCATACGTGCGTGCTTTAGGTGTTTCAATTGAGCTATTTGACGGGGCCTTTTTTTTTCTTTTTTTCCCTTGAAGAAAGTTATCTGACCTTGATAGAAACGTTGTTAAGGTGAGGCACTTTCTTATGTCGCTGCAATTTAGAACTGAGATCGTGTTCCTTTTTTCTTTTTAAACAGCATTCTTCAAATTGAGTAATTGTAATCTGTCACAAGGATTAGTATTGACACCATCAGAAAATTATTCAAGACTAGATTTTATTGAATGTGATCAAGAGTTGCTCTCCTTTGTCTTAACTGATCACATTTAAGCTATTCTTTGGCTGCCACCAATGAAGCGGCTATCTTCTAAAAATTTTGTTTATTATTTGTGCACATCACTGATTGTTTAATATTAGTTCATAATGTTTATAAATATTAGCATGGTGAATGGTTAATCTATTGAAGCATGAACTCTTTTGCTTCTGTTAGGGTCATAAGCCATGGCTATTTCCATGAAGGTTTTGAGAATCTAAAAGCATTGTACACGATGCTAGAGGACATGTGCTTTATGAGTTTGTTTTTCATAGATCATGAAATATCTATTGAATGATAGAGATAACAGGCCACAGGATCAGCTTTACATCCATGAAAAGGCATATAACATGATGGGACATTTTTCTTAGGAGAGGAGGTATAGACGGACGGAGAGAGCATTGTGCAATGTCTGTCACACCTCGTTACTAGAAGTGTAACCAACACAGAATATGAGATACATTCATATCTTGTAAGTCTTAATTAATTTGGGATTAAACTAAATTATTGATATATAATTTATAAAGTTCATAAAGTATCACACATTTTATAGAAATTTTGATAGAACTCCTCGATACTTAGGACCTCTCACAATTTTTACAATAGCAAAACTTGCTAGCCAGACTAGAAAGGAGTTTAGTTTCACACCAATAGATTTATATTAACAAAATAAAATTAGGATTTAATTATGGTATATGTGGAACGTTAAATTTATGATTTAATATAATATATAATTATATCAGAATGAATGGTCAGAGTGCGCCCATGGTTCAAAAAGCAATGCTGCCCCTTGATGATCAGCTGAAGGCAGGGTTATAATATTTGAGACCAAATAATTTTTTGGTTAGTAGCATCACAATTGAGTTTATAAATAATAAATTAATAAATAAAAATGAAAATATGAAAATAGTAATTAATAATTTAATTTAAACAAATCAAGAAAATAATGAAACACTTGCTTTAATTGACAATAAATGACAAGTTTGCTTAACAGGAAAATTGTGGAACCAATAACAATATTAGAACTAGATAAGTTTATAAAAAAATTATAATATATATAAAATTTCAAGTAATGATGTGATTTTCAAAAAATGTCTTTAAAGAAATTAGTATAAAAATGATAAGTTTTGAGCTCAATCTAGGAGGGTTTTATTAGAATGAATAACAAGCATGGATATATAGTCCACAAGAGTAACATATCTGGTGTGGCAAGAAGTCATAAAAAACAAGCATAAGTATAAAGCTTACGAATAATAAGCGTGGATTATATCTACAAAACTACATCCTTCATTTCACGTGTATTGGTTGTTACAGAGGGCTAGCATCTTCAATGCATTTTTCTAATTAGGTGTATCATGGCGCGCTAGGGTAATAGAATTGTTATTAGCATTCAGTGTTTTGAATTCAGTTTTCCTAATTAAAATCAAGCATGTATGTAGTAGGAATAAGAACTTCAAAATTTTTTACTTTCAAATAAGTTGTTCAACAATCATTTTCTATTTTTTATGTTCATCTTCGGACGAATTATCATATTAAAAAATTTTCATTTCAAATATAAAATTTATTAAATAAGTTGCTTTTGAGATGTAATATTATTTGTTACATACCAATTTCAATCATTACTTGGGAATAACATAAATCATGGCCAAAATCATGAAATCATCATTTGTAAATCAATTATTATAAAAAATAAAATTTGCAAGAATATTTATATTGCTTATAAAATAATAATATTAAAATTTAAATAAATAAATTTTATAAACATTTTATTAAAAATTTATTCATAATACTATCCACTTATTGAAGAGTTTTTAATAATTTTATAATTAAATTTTTTTAATTTCACGCTTATTTCAGTGATGCTTCAATTTAACTTTTACCAAAGTGCAGTGAAAGTTGTTACATTTCAGCCCATGGACCACCGAAGGAGAGAAGAATTCCGCCCAGCACTGACAGCCTCAGAGCAGAGATGGAAGGAAATGAGATGCAATATTTCTCCTTCACTGTGGCATATGGACGAGAGTGGAAAAGGAACAGACGGACGAGAGGGAGGAGGAGAGAAAGAACGAAGAATGACAACCAAGAGGAGAGAAGGAATGAAGAACGATGGCGAGGAGGAGAGAAGGTTGAGAATGCGTGAAGATTTTGAAATTTCTCGATGCTCTGGAGCTTTAATCGTAGAGGATAGAAGAAATATTTAAGTATTAGGAAATTGAGAATGTTACCAAATAGAGCATAAGGAAAATTACAAAAAAGAACACAATAAAATTACGAAAATGGCACAAATTTTTTTATAAATTAAAACAAAATAACACTAAACTTTTGCTTGATAAAATTTGAACTCTAAATCTTTAAGAAAATTACTAGCATAATTTTCACTAACCTACTACTCTTCAATTATTATAAAATTAGTTTAAATAAATGCCAATTAAAAGAACTTTTTTTTTTGGAGTCATTGCAAATGTAGTCTGAAACTTCCTGATTTTTTTTCTTTTATTGCTTGACTTGTATCCGGGCAGCATGAAGAGCTATTCCTAAATCCTAACTTGTAGCTGGATTTGATTTTTCTTTCATTCTTCATTTGTCATATTGTGAAAGTTTTACAGCTGATTTTTTTCGTCATTGATATTTTAAAGCTCAGGTTTATGCATATTATTTGGGTTTTCTTTTGTCATTATTTGATTTTTTTTGGTGCATATTGTTTGAATTGAAATAATATATGCTTAACGCTGGTGATATATACTACACTGGCCAGGTCAGGACCAGCCAAAGTAAATCCAGTCATAAGCTTAGTTGTTTTAAGTTAGAGCTGAGGAATAATCATAAATACAGAAGCAGCATTTCATTTTCTTCTTGTCTACGTATGCCATATACTATGGTTATAATTATTAGAATTATACTACCATTATTTAAATTTACATCTGTTTAATTGGCCAACCCGTGCAACCGTGGTTGTGTCTAGTAATAGTAAAAGATAAAAACAAAAACCCTACCATTCCATTTTCATGATAGCGTCCAGATGGCAGAAAAAGAGCTATAGAAAGTAACGCTGAAAAGGCAAGAATGAATGCATTCTTTCAGCCTTAAAAAAAGTGTAAAGATGGCAGCTTTAAATTTAAATGCGTTGATTTTTTTTATTACAAACTAAATGTGGTTGTCCTTGACTCATTAATGATGCATCTGCTTTGACCAATATCGTCTACGACCAATGCAAAGCAAATCGAAAGAAAAGTGAGACTAAGGCTTTTGCAGCTTTTTTTGATGCATCAAAATTAATGTCAGCTTTTTCTTCCTGCTGAGATTCCATGCCGTTTTGAATGATACTGCTCCGGTCTCATTTATAAGTCCAATTTTAAAAGATGTATTTGGTCCATTTATAAGTTATGGTGCGTCTTTTTAGGTAATATTTAAGAGATATTTTCAAAATTACCCTTCATGAGAGAGAAAAAATAACAGGATATTACTTTTTAGATTTGTTATATAGGGGCATGTTTGAAATTTTACTTACTTTTATTCCTTATACTTTTATTGTATTGGTATTGATAAAATTGATAGGAATAATTTATAAATAGGATTGGAGGGAATACATTGTTTCAAATAATGCATTCTTTCAGCATTAAAAAAATGTGAAGATGGCAGCTTTAAATTTAAATGCGTTGATTTTTTTTATTATAAACTAAATGTGGTTGCCCTTGACTCATTAATGGTGCATTCGCTTTGACCAATGTCGTCTTCAACCAATACAAAGAAAATCGAAGGAAAAGTGAGACTAAGGCTTTTGCAGCTTTTCTTTAATGCATCAAAATCAATGTCAGCTTTTTCTTCCTGCTAAGATTCTATGCCATTTTAATGATACATTGTTTCAAATCCTAGGAAGTCGGGCTTCTATTAAATAGCATATTTAATTTTTTTATCAGATAGCTTATATTAAACAGGCATCACGTGCTCATCTCTGCAAGATGGATCATATTTAAAAAATTGTAAGTCTTAAAACCTGACACGTAGCATTCATTGAAAATGATTTTTACAGTTGGATTGGCTTCAAGTTTTTTCATCCTATTTTCCAATTGTGTGTAAATCTCGAATCTCCAAATTCTTCCCTGCAGCTTTTTGAATTCCAACCTGTTAAAAGTCTAGCAGCAACAATCTTCCCGTCTTTCACAGCCTTCAAGGTAAGTGTACGTTACTTCTGATTTTAATGATTTTTCTAATGCTTTAGATGTTTGGAGCTAATGTCAATCGTGCTATTTGTTTTGCATGGATTTGGGATCGTTTGACAGCAATGTTATTATTACGTACATCTGTCAAATAATCTTTTCCCTTTTCTTTACTAAGGCACTCTGTAGGTGTACGGCATTTATGGATTTGCAGAACTGGGGTGGCCTAGAAGTGAATATTAAATCATCTCTGTCCAACCTGTTTTTTTTTTTTAATTATGCATAGATAATTTTTGTTCTTTCATGTAAAGGTATTTTGTTTGTATTTCAATATTCAGTTCAGTTTCATGCAACTACTATATCTTTTTTCTATTCAATCTTTGAGTTTTTGGCTGCATGGGAGTTGATGGGACATGTTTTGATGATGTTAGATTGTAACAAATACTTTAAGCATATACATCATATAGATTTTAGTAGGTTGCATGGCTCATGTTTTCTCTCACTTCTGCACCTTTAGTGAAAAAATTATAATTTCTCATCTAGATTTTTGTTGCATACCAAGAGCATGGGAAGTTTAATTGTAGTTATAGAGAAATTTAAATGATAAGATTCCATTCAAAAGATTTTTTTTTTTTTGGGGGCTACACACTCATACATTTACTCTACTGACAACTCGTGCCAATGCCATTCGTCTCAGGCCAAACAATTTTTGACGCTGTCCCCTCTCTCCATTTTTGCCACCCCTATATATATATACATCCAAACCCCATACAATTATGTTTTCCACCAATGCTGAGTCCTCCTCCGTTTTGAGCTGCTTCTTCCTTCTTCCTCACACTTCACAGATCTGTTATTCCCTATTATTAAACCCAGGATGAGACATTGCATTGCTCTTTCTTCTTTCTTTGTCTTCCTTCTTCTTCTGCTTCATGGAGCCTAGTGTGGAGACCCTTATAGGTTCTTCACGACCCTTATAGGTTCTTCACCTGGAAGTCACCTATGGTGATATTTACCCTCTCGGTGTTAAGCAACAGGTACTTCGTTCATTCACTCTCTTCTGGATTTCCCATCTTGGATTTGCATGTGCTTTTACTACTAATTTTTTCTGGGTAGTTTTTATCTTTGCTTATCTGGGCATTTTTTTTCTTCAAGATCCAATTTGGCTTGTGTTTTTCAATTTTGCAGGTGATCTTGATCAATGGCCAGTTCCCTGGGCCTCACATTGATGCTATTACTAATGATAACTTGATTATTACCGTGTTCAACTACCTTAGAGAGCCACTTCTCATTTCTTGGTAACTCCTAGCATTTTCTTTCTTCTTGTTTCTTTTGCTATGAACATTAGATCCTGGGAGATTTACACAATAAGGACGTTCCTCATTTCTACTATTGTGGAGCATTGCCTTGTTTGTTGCTTCCGACTTTTATAAATCAGTAGATCTCGCCAAGATATTATCTTTCTATTATTAGCAGGCATATTCCGTTAATTAAGAGGTCAATGGGGGTAATTAAAGAAACTGTCGTGAGTTTAATTTGAAATAAATGATAAAAGAGAATAATGTCAAAAAATGAGGGCACACACACATATATATAGACATACACAGGCGCTTGGTTTCCATTTTTGCCACTCTGGTGGAACAACACATGTAGGTTATTTATCATACTTCGTAAACACCGACTGAGGAATTTGGCATGGTTTTTGCTTTATGAATTGAATAAAGATTAATCTTATGAATCCCTGACAGCTTCAATATCAAGTTCTTATAATCGCATCTCATATCTTAATCTTACCATGGACTTACAGAACTCTGATGATAGTTTTCTTGACAGTTCTTTAGTTATTGATTGATATTATAATTGAAACCATTGTTGTGCCTATTCCTCACCAAAAATACGATGGGACTCTGATAACTAAATTTCTTTTCACAGTTCAAATATTTAAAGGTACTTATATCAATTTCTCAAACTTTGGGCAGGAGACAACACTTAAAAGTGATATCATCCTCTGCATTCTGTCATCTTGAATAACACCAGGTGCCTTAAATACCAGTGCATCAAACACAGAGACATCTTAGATGCCTCTTGAAATTTTAGACGCCATGACGAAGTGTGGCGTACCAAATACTTGATCAGTTTCATCATTGTGCAGGAATGGGTTACAGCAACGAAGGAATTCATGGCAAGGCACGGAGTGTTTGGAACAAACTGCCCTATCCCACCTGGGAAGAACTTCACATGCAATTTGCTGGTGAAGGATCAGATTGGAAGCTATTTCTACTTCCCGTCTCTTGGAATGCAGAAAGCTGCAGGTGCATTTGGTTCTCTCAGAATCTGGGGCCGTCCTAAGATTCCTGTCCCTTTCCCTTCTCCAACTGGTGACTTCCCTATTCTTGTTGGAGACTGGTTCAAGACAGATCACCGTGTAAAAATTCCATGACATTCATTTCAGTTTCTCCCTTTCTGTTATTTGTTCTTTATTGGCCTCCTTTTGTTACTTAACTTCTATTGATAAAAATCAAATATTTACATCTTATGATTTTTAAATAATATGATTTATTGTTCAAACTTTATATAGCGAAACAGACTGACATGTTGTACTAAAAGAATTTGGATATCTTATGCTTGATATAAAGGGCAGATACAATTTCTTAAAAAAAAAAAAAGGTAGATAAACTAAATCCTTACACACTTTTACCTCGTGTCATTTTGTTTTATTAACATTTGCCAAATTTAATAAAATGTCTATCATTGACATAGAAACATTACACCTTTCTGGTTAGCATCTTATCCAAAATCCAAGGTCTTGTCACTTGTGATGAGCTAAAGAAGCAAGATTCCAAACCTAAACAGCAAACACACCAAGGCTTATGGCTTTCACAACAACCACATCTTTCTAAATTGGAATCATATATATACACTCAAACACTTTCTGATAGAATTTTGTCTTTTGGTCAAATTATAAATTCAAATCTAAGGTCTTCTAAATTTCTATGCAACATGAAAAGCAATGGATTGATATATATAAATCCAAGGTCATACCCCGGAGCAGTTTTAAAACTGTCCAATAGTGGCTTGACCTAAGTGAAGATGAAAAGCGATGGATAAAAAGGAACAAATGTATGCCTCCTTTGAAAAATTAGTAATAGACTTCTCAAAGGTAGCATCGTGTAAGGGGACTTTGACAAGAAGGGTCGCAATGGCTCTATGCCATGCTGAAGACTTTGCACCAAAGGCAGAGCGATGGCGAACCCTACGATGATGAAAGCGAGGTGTGTGATTTCTATTTTTTTTATCGGGACAAAATTACAACATTTGCCATTGATGGGAACAATTTTTATTTTTTGCTTCCCTCTTTTTACCTTCGAAATTTAAAAAATAGGAATATAAATGGCTAAAAGTTATTTTTGTTTTCTTGTAATTAAAAAAATTAAAAACTGTTTTCCAAAACAAAAATTTGAAAAACTATTAGCCAAACAAGTTTTTTTATTTTAAAAATATTAAAATGAAAAAATAGATTTCAAAAATAGAAAATAGGCCCTTGTTTTTTTCTTTTGATATCAGAGAAGGGCTAGGCCCTAAGTACATAATTAAAAAGGAAGAGGGGACTGAGATCCCAAGCACTCATTGTGCACTAAATTCTTATAGGAAAGGGGAGTTGAATTAAAACGGCTTGTAGAAGAAGTCCCTCTTTTGCCAACGTATCAGCAACCTTGTTCTGGCCACGTGGAATTTTCCTGATGTGAACATCCCAATTAAGTTGGAGCAATCCATTGATTTCAACAAAAACCAAGCTGCACTTGTTCATATCCTTAGTTGTTTCATATATCAAGTCCACTGGAAGTTTAGAATCTGATTCCAGGATAATTTTCCTGAAACCCATTTCCCAAGCTAGTTGGAGGGACTTGAGCAAAGCCTATTCTTCTGCTTCAAAGGGATTACAGTAACCAATTAGTTGACAAAATCCAGCAATCCATGAACCATAATGATCTCTCAAAACTCCTCCACAGCCTGCTTTCTTTTGAGAGGTAGAAACAGCACCATCGGCATTAATTTTGATCCAATCTTTTGGTGGTGGATCCCATATTTGCAACTCATTACAAGTTACAGATCTGAATGTGATATTGTTATCACCACAGGCAACAAAAGACTTCCAAGTTCTTAAGATTATAGACACAGGGTTTATAGGCATTTGGAAATCTTGTTGAAAGACAAAATTGTTTCTCCATTTCCATAAATTCCAAATAGCAACACCCCAAATTAAATTCCAATTATTGGACCTATTACAGGTCACATTCAGTTTCAGATTCAAGCTCATCCAGTCGTGCAAAGAGGCATTGAAAAATTGAGTGTGATACCTTCTTGGTAGTAATTTACAACAAAGGTGTTGGGCATAAACACAATCACGGAGGATGTGGAGAACATCTTCATCTTCAGATTCACATCATTTGCATAAGGATGAACAACCTGACCAAGAGCTCCTCCAAGTGTTTGTTGGAGCCAAAATAGGCCCTTGTTGACAGCTTATATTATGAGAAAAACTTGGGTCATTGGTCTGTCATTCCTTGTTAGGTGAGGGAGTGATGATGTTATAGAGTAGAGTTTACATGAATTCTTTTTCCTTTGACCAATAATTTACGTGAATTCAAGTGATCCATCATTTCTTGCAATGGTCTAAAGCAAGAGTAAATACCAACTTTCTTTCCAGACAATTGATGAAGGCTTGAATTAAAAATTCAAAAAGGACAAAGTCATTTGACTAAAATAAATGAGCAGTGAATGCATCATAAGAAAACTGGCTTATATGGTCAGAGTTCTTGGCAAGTTTAGAACTTTAAATTAAATTAGCATGTAAAATACAATCATAACAGAACACAAGTACACATTCACACATAAGAATAATGCAGTCTTTCTCATAAATTATTTGAACTCAAACATCCACGGGTACCCAACATCATTTATCATCAATACTTCACAGAAAGAATATATTTAAAAAGGAAAGGCGCCTGGCAATGCAGTTTGATGGGAGCAAAAGTAGATAGGTACTATAGTCACTTGGAAGTGAAGCTGGTGGGCTCAACTTGCAAAAAAAATATGCAGGTTTAGTTCAAAAAGCATGTTCATTTCTATGCTAGACAATTTTAGCCTACCCTGCACAGCTTGAACTTGTAGAGGGCAAACTTGTGGGTTAATGGGTTGGCGTGCTTAATTTTTTTAAGACATAAAGTGAAAGATCATTCTCTCAATTCTCAAACCCTCACCATTATTCACATTATTAAAATAATTCAAATTATGTACTTATTACATACTGCCATTATTACTTGTCATATTTAGTTTGTTGAGATAGTTATAAATTTATGACCAATCAAGTACATTAGTGCAGCATGCACCCAACCAAAGACTTTTTCAAAATTTAATTTGAGTAAAATATTTTCAAGTAGGCACAAGTAATATATCCATATTTTTTTTAAGGTTATATGGAGTTTAAACTCTTTCTTGTTATGTTGCCATTTGAAGTAATGCCATCTCGAGTGGTATATGAATCATTTTTAGAGATATTTAAAATGATTTATATATCAATCTTCAAATCTTCTTCAACGGCTTTTGAATTATGAGTTATTAGATAGTCAAGCTATGGACAAATCCCAACTTTATTTTTTCTTGTATTGTCTTTGTTATGATAATTTACTTCAATGAACTTAGAATTTTTCGGCTAGGAAAAAAAAGTTTAACCCATTAACCTACCAACCCGTTACAGGCTAGTGGGTTAGTAGAAATACAACTCGCACAAGATACAAGTTATACCAACTCATCGCAAGTTGACCCATATTACTAACTATACTTGGAAGAGCTTTAGTGATGAGCTTCGAGGCTTTAACAATATAGTTGTTGAGAATGATAGGTTTTGTCTAATCATGGAACTTAGTCCCACATCAGTTAGTAAAGTATGAGCAAAGCAATGAGTAGGTATAAAAGCTGAGCAAACTATATTTGGAAGCATATCTTTCTTGACCTTTTGGCTAAGATCAAGCGTAGTATCTATTTTAATCAATTTAAAATGTGATACGTGAGCCATCAACCCGCATGATTTTAAATTAATTTTTTGAGGGGGAGGATTCACTATAGTAGCTTGCTATTAGGACTCTCGTGTGTCACCCTTGTGTTGCACTACAACATGGCCTAGCATACCCCTTTAAATCTTAGTTTAAGTTTCGTGGCTCAATTTCATTGAAGTGTGCTTATGCAATTATGACCTAATTGTATTGTAACTTAAAGAGCCTTTCCATTGTGATATATGGGCCTGACATACCCTATGAATATTGGTTTTAGGTTATGAGGCCCAATTTGGTTGAAATAGGCTTTTGCATTTACAACCCAGTTATATTGTAACCTAGCAAGAATCTTCCCTTTTTGTTTTTTTAGAATGTTATTAGTATTATCTTTGTAGATGGTATTAACTGTAACATCATAAAAAATTTAACCCTAATTAACTAAGCTTAATTAGGAAAATTAAGTGAATTAATGTAGTGTGTAGCCAGAGAGATCTAATATGTGTGTTCAGTTGTGATTTTAACCTTAAATACAGGTTCAAAGTAAAATTAAGTCACTTAGGCATTAAAAATTGAGATAAGCTAAAGAATGAGCCTCTGTACTACATGCCGTGGCGTGCAACACATCTAGCACAGCACACAAATGGCAATAAGTGAGAAGAGACCTCTTTGTACTATAGTCACAACGCATGGCTAGGTTTCTTCTCAAATTAATCACCGTCTATGTAAAAAATCAGAAGAAAGGAGGAGAAAATGAAAGCATGCCATTTGCTCTAATAGGGCATAAATTTAAGGATTATTAGAGATATTTCGAGGCCTCTTAACATCAAATAAAAGTCCCATATGTCCTTTACTTCCATTCTCCTTTCCTTTTTTCTAGTTTGGGAGTTAGGATAATGATTTTCGACTCATATGAGCTATAAGTTAGAACCCATTAACTTAAATAGAGTTATTAGAACTTTAAACATAGTATTAATGGTTTTATGGATGGTTAGTTGGTGAGGGCCATTAATAGCTGAAAATGACATTAATGGAGGAAGTTGGAGTTGTTTTAAAGCCATTAATAATAGTTTAATAGTTCATTAATGACAATGTGAGCTATTGAAATATAACAAATCCAATGGTTATGATTGGGAGTAAATTTGTGATTTTGATAAAAAGAGATTGTGGAGTTAGAATGTTGTAAATTTCCTAAATAAGGGATAATGATGATATTCTTACAATTTCATTGTAGAGTAACCAAATTGGCACCATTCAAGCTTGAGAAAAGCTTTAGAAAGCTTGTGTTTTGAGGGGTAAACTTTGACCTCTCAAAGGTTTGAGATAATTGAGGAAAAATTTAGTTTATGTTTTTGTGTGTTAGTTAATTATGTGTTTGGAAGATTGTTTTTGTAACTAATGGATGTAGTAAACTCATGTAATGCAAATTTGGTAATAGGATGTAATGTGCAAGTATGCATGTTGTTGACATGAATAAAGTGCATAGTCATACACATTGATGAGAGTATAGCGCATGTATATTTTTGAAAATAAATGTCATGAGTTATATACATACTGAGTTATGTGGAGTATAACGAAGCAAAATTGTGTGAACATGATATGATGTGATTAATGTTATTTAAATGACATACTAGGTGTCAATATATGCATAGTATAATCATTAGTAGGAGTTTCACCTAGGGAGAGGAGTGTGGTAAATTCACATGGTAATGACATCTTATCGTTGGAATCGAAAGCTTGTCTTAACACCGACAGTTGGAATTGGGAGGTAGTCATTGTCTCTTGGTTGATTAGGGACCGTCCCACTTGCTCTTCAAGGAACTTAAACCTAGCTAATCTCTATCGGTTCATGAGGAGACTAGATTAAGGTTTGACGCCTCATGGTGATTAGTATTAAAGGAAGTCATGAATCACAAGTGAGTGGGTTTGTTATGGCCTGACAGCTCCTTAGGGCTGTGTTAGTTTGAGTTATGGACATAGCCACTAAATAACCACCGATTTCATGTCAGAGGTATTAGGAGAGTATGAAGTTGGTATTGATCATGCATTTTATTTCTGGCTATATGGTTGTTATTATTTCGACCTCAAGATGTGTATTTGTGAAATAAATGTGATAATATGCATTAATGCCTGATCACATGGTTGTTAGTTTTGTAGCCGAGGCTGTAGTTATAATTTAGTATGTGATGCTTATAAAGTTATTTAATTGCTATTTGCATCTATAATTAATTGATATACAATTGTATAGGCTTGATTGACCTTGGCTATTGAGTGGTTGTACTCACCTCTCGTTCTTCAATATTACAGGGCCTAGCTCATCAAATCAGGACAGGGGAAAATGATGGAGGGAAAGAATTTTGCGTAAATCCTACTTGTAGGCCTCTTATGTGTATTTTGAAGTTATTTGCTAACTAAGACAACATACAATTCATTTTCACTACTTGGATTATGGTTAAAAATATCTCATATATTTTGTACCCTGAGATATTGATAAATGATTATAGAACTTAATAGGGCTAAAATACTAGTGTGAGTACGTTATTGTGTAAGTGATTGATATTAATGATGGTATGTAGGTTTATGCCAAATGAACTCCCCTTATTGTTTTTGTTAATTGAGGGATTGAGTGTTGAAATTTTAATATTCATATTTTTGATTGATTGTAGTATGTTGCATGAGTCCATCATAATCCATTAAGTGTAGTTTAAAAGTCGGTGTATGTTTTTGGCATTTGTATTATGGTTTAGGCATTCTAGTTGTGTATTTATATGAAAAAGGAGAAAGATTTAAAGCGGGTGTCCAACTTTGGTTAGAAAAATGATTTGGGTATGAAGGTAGTGCCATTAGTTAGAGTCAGGAGAAAGATCTCTATAGACACCTAAATCATGTCAATTAGACATTAGATAGAGTTTTGGGACATATCAGAAGTTCGTCTCAGGTGCTATCATTTGATAGCAAAATACTATCAAATTTTGTGCAATGCACCATGGCGTGTGACACAAAAATGACACGTCACAATGCATATGTTATATGTCATGGCGCATGTAATATCTTTGCTTAAAATGATGTTTCCTCACTTCTTTTGCAAATGCTACAAGGTATTGGATTTCCATGTTTATGCATAGTGATTTTACTCTGATTATGGATAAATATGTGGATTTAAAGAGTATTATATGGATTTCCATGCTTCTACATAGTGATTTTACCTCAGTTTTGGAGTTAACTGAGGTTTAGAAAGAAGAGTATTACATTTATTGTCATACTTTCTCAAGAAATGATCATTAAAATTTTGAGGGCATTAAATAATATTTTATTTTTAAATATAAGAGAAACTATTCTATATATTTTTATTTTTTATTATAAGTAAAATTACAAATTTTAAGAAACATTTTTTCCAAATTGACTCAAATGAATGGTATCATTAAATTGGAAAAAAATAAACATTAATTATAAGGGTATTTTAGTTCAACTATTTGAATTTTAGATATAATTATTATGATAAATTAATTTTTTTAAATATATGAGTTTATTAAAAATTTTCTATATTTGAAAACAAAAGGAGTACCCATGAATTTGATTTAATAAAAAAAAAAATTTACTGGGTTGAGTTTACCTGGATAATCTGAAATTTATAGCTTCATTATATTTGGAGGGTTAGAATTAGAAAGGTGCTAGCTATCCTCTTTAGAATATATTTCTTGCGTACCTTATTAGTTATGTTAATTAGCTGTAATTTGGCTATAGGGCACATTTATTCTGATGTTCCCTTCTAGTCTAGTTTATAGGACAGAGAAAGGGCATTTATTTTTATCCTATTGATAATGCATTTTAATGATTATTGTATTCATCTTTATCCTTTTGCTTTTGTTAAATATTAAGAATGTTATTAATTCTAGAGTAATTTTTTTTTTTGGCATTCCAGCCATAGAGTATTTTATTTAAATTATGTATATCTAATAAGGGTAAAGTTAAAAATTTATTAAATTTTTAAAAAGAATTAATGAGATTTAAGATTTTTTTTTAATTCTAGTAAAAATGTTGGAAGTAAATTATAAATATGATCAAAAAAAGTATAGATTATGATTACAATCAAATCATAAAAGCACAAATTAATGATAATTATATTCTTGATAAATTTTTTTAAAAAGTTTTAAATATCAGTTTAAATAATTATAAATTCAAAACTTTTAATTACAAATAATACATTTAAATTTTAAATATAATTCTTAATTTGTAACAAGATTTGTAAGTTATTTTTTATTAATTTATTCTCTTGAATTTAAATGTTATTCCCTTTTATAGAAAGTACTTCCTCTTGTTCATATTATAAGGAATTTTTTAGAAACTTTACTTGATTTAAAATATAATATATTGGGTAGTTTTTATAATTTTTTTATTAACTATACTCATACTTTATTTATTATTTATTTGAAAAAAATGATCCATTATAATTTTAATTTTTATTATTAAGATACTAATATATGTTATTTAATGAAAGTATAATTAATATTTTAAAAAAAAATTAAAATTTTAACTAACATTATTTAAAAAAAAACGTGAAATAGTCAATCCTTTGAATCAGAAGAGGAAGTACGTAGCACATTTTCATTTTTAAAAGGCATTGATTTAATGATTTTGATTTGAAATTGTTGTACTGGCGACTTTTAAAATTTATTTTATGGGGCACTTGATTAATTTGACTTGTAACTTCTCATAGTATTTACGTCATGCATGCAGAGAAAATTATAAGAGCCACAACAAAAAGAGTGCATGTATGCAAAACTAGGTGATGGATGTATCATGATACTCATACTTTTGATGAAAAACATGGATAATCCATATTTAATGTTTTAAATTTTATATTTATTAAAATAAAAAATTATTAAAATTATTTAAAATTTTTTATATATTTGCTTATCAACCAACTGGAACAAATAGATTTAGTTTAAATGATATAAATTTAATATTAAATTTTTTTATAAATTAACTATCCACATTTACTCTAAATATTTTAAATTTAAAATTTTTAACTTCTATTTATTTTAATTTTTTAAAAAACTTCTAGTTAGAATATTATCTTTATTATTAATATTTTATTTATAAAAAATAATATTAAATATGGACCATTCAGGATACATTTAGAT